GTAATTTGTGTGGGAGATATTTAAAGCGTACATGTGTATTTATTATCTGCATTGGTTAAAGTTCTACTGGGGCGTGTTCACCATGGATTCATAGCTACAATTTTCGGTCTAACATCATGAATGTACTGGCAGTAAACTACACAGGAGGGAATATTTCAAGTGGTCTTCATACTCATAGGGTGGGCAGGGAAGAGGCTGCTTTTGTCATTCAGTAGAATATTAGCTGAAGATATAGGTACCCGGTATCTAAGGTGTTGCTTGGTGCTTTGCAGTGCATTTTAAACTTCAAAATCGTGGATTTCAAGAACGTAACAGTGGTCTTGAGCAGTAAATAAATCACCTCTGATTGGTTGGGACAAAGCTAAAGCTCTTCCTCGCATAAAGCAACCCTTAGTTTCAAGTATTCCTCCAACAAGAACAGGCTTAGGTACGTGTGTTCCTCCCACAAGAACTAGCTTAAGTTCATGTGTTCCTCCCATAAGAGAACGCTTAAATCAGGGTGCTCCTCCAATAAAGAGCACCCTTTTCTCAGAAGTTCCTCCCCTAAAGATCACCCTTAATTTCAGCTAGGTGTTCCTCCCAATAAGAACACACTTAGTTTTCAGCTGGGTATTTCTCCCCCTAAAGTTCTCCCCCTTAGTTCCATGTCGTTCCTCCCATAAGTTCCCCTTCGTTTCAGAAGGTCCTCCCATAAAAACACCCTTGGTTCCAGCTAGGTGTCCCTATCATAAAGAACCATTAAATGCAAAAAGTACAGAAATTTTCAACCTGCTAGACGTGCATTTAAGTGGGACGGGTTAGGGTGATTTTGGTTATCAGGACAAATGCATTATGTTGTTACTAATCACGTGACTTACTTTTCGGGAATCCGGTAAAGGACGCTGCTGCATCTGAAATTAAAAAAAAAAAAAGATGATTTAAAACATCAGCGAATGAAAACTATGATGAAATATGTGCACGCAGTCCCACTTATAAGTGTATATGTGAAGGGTGTGTCAATTATTCTATGACAGTTGATAAATAAATAAATAAATGCAAGATAAATGACATTTTTATGAAGATAACGAAATCACTTCCGGATTGAGCGTACATTTATTTACCCCCGTTATTTAACTTACTGGTTGATCTAAGCTTTCAATTTTAATAACGCATGATCCAAGCGTATTGACATAAATAAAAACCCTTGGTATTTAAAGTTTATTTGAGAAGTTTCAAGGAATGGTTTTCTTAGTTTGATAGCCTGAATGAGGCGGACCCATTTGAACTTTATGGGGAATAATTTTGTTCGTCTGATGACGTACTAATTTCTGTGATGCAGTGTAAATGAATATGTAAATGAATGAATAGGTCCTGTCTTGATATCAAAGTGGATATTTTGATTCATCCAGTCATATTATACTGAAATGACGAGGAAATTAAATTTAATACTGAGTTTGAAACTGACATCGAATGGTAAAAAAAAAAAAACATAATCTCTGTTTTCAGCGTAAAATTCTGTATTGGATTTAAATTTCTCATTATCTCAAATTTCATCTTGGTTATAACATTTTTAATATTCGATACTCACTCTTTGGCGTGGTACTCTTTGGTTTGGCAGTGGTCTGTTTGGTTGTAACGGTACTAGACATAGCCTCAACCTCCTGCCCTGTAAATACATAAAAATTGAACATACATGTAATTTAAAAAAAACGATTAGAAATCAGAAGTGGTAGTTGATTTGCTCTCTAAAATGTTCCCGTTGTCTGACAACTGAGAACGTCTTCAACGGGAGTCGATCACCCTGAATGTCGCAGTGCAGTGCACGTGGTTTTTAGAAAAGTAAAACTCATGCTGGCGTAGAAAAGGCAGCACAAACAGACCCCTAAACTCAGGCTGCCTGCCCTTTTTGATCGCTGTACATAAAAATAATTTCCCTTCATTAGTGACGCAATCTTGATTATTTTCAAATGGCCATAGCTATGTGTCTATGATAGTGGAAGAGTTTCATTTGCAATGTGGGGCCGTTAATGTCAACAGATTGTAGATTTATAGTATCAATAGCAAGCTATTTATCGGCATTAAGATGGAATATTTGGGAGATAAGATATATCCATCGACATAGAACTATATATTGGACCTGGTAAATACCACACATTTAAACTAGATAAGGATTTGCCACAACTCTTCTAATAATTCTATACTCTGTTGACTTTATGTCTACTTTTCCATCGAGGTTTTCCAAATGAACATTTCCTATTGTGAAAACATTTGGTACATGATTTCGTGATTTCTTAAATATGAACAGTATCATAATCAACAAAGATATAGAGTACTAATAAAAATGTTATTCTCCTCGTATGCATGAAAACACTAATAACAACCTCTTACCTAAATAAGTAGCCAGTAAGAGGACTACCAGACAGACAACCGCAACTTTCTTGGAGCTATTCATTTTCAAAATGAGAGATCAGATGATCGTGCCTTTAACTTGATGTTTCATGCACACCGGGTGACTCAGATTAGGAGACCTCGTGAGGGCGAGTGAGGTTTTTATACCCGGCTAACCAGATATCTGAGATAAGGTGACGCACACGATACCAAGAACCCGCGAAACTGAAACTGACACCGGAAGTTGACTGCATTGTACCTGACAGAGACGTGCTCTTCACCCGTGCACTGATTGAAGTGAAATACTGTTATATCTTCACCCTCTTTATTGTGGTATGAGTTGTAAGAGACGAGTTTTACAGGCCCCTCCCATCAAGGAGGAATGTAAATGTATAGTGAGCAAAGAAGCGTAAAGGAGGAGGTTTTGAGGAGGTATTTTTGTATGGTATTTCTTATGTAATTGTATAGCTAGCAAAGAAGCGTAATGACAAAATCAATTTACTGCATGGTTGGCGCAGACCGCTTGGGTGCATTGTATTTTAAGAGGTTTCTAGCAATAGCTCATGCAAGCCTTAACGCATATATTCGGCTGTATATTCACAAACACGAGACGGGTGCGGGCGCGCCAAACGCATTCTTCTGCGCATTTCTAGAAAAAGGGAGTCGAAATTGCCCTTTAATAAATAAATAAATAATCCAAAACTTTTTTCCGATAACTCCTGAAATTAGATCAAGCTAAAAATAACCATACAACCCCCTCCTTTACCCTTCTTTGCTCGCTATACAATTACATAAAAAATACCATACAAAAATACCTCCTCAGAACCTCCTCCTTTACGCTTCTTTGCTCACTATACATTTACATACCTCCTTGATGGGAGGGGCCTGTAAAACTCGTCTCTTACTACTAGTATGGAACACTTAACCCCCTATTACACTGTGCTTCAGAATGGTGGAACACGAACTTTAACCCAATTTCACAATTATGTCAAAAAAATTGTGCAAGATTAGCTTTACTAACAAAGAATTCATTGTTGAGTATCAGATACTGCCGGAGCTCCAACTTTGAAGGGGTGAACTTGGGCAAAACGCGCGTTCTCCAAGCGATCACAAGACCGGTGTAACAGGGGCTTATGTCTGCTATGGAGTTAATACAATGTATGTAACGAAAATATACGCATGGGTCGTATGCGTTATAATTGAAGCAATTCACGTGATCGCTAGATTGGCATTTTCAAATCAAAGAAGCAGCAATGTCGATAAGAAACTATTCTCTGTATTTTGATTTTTTGGGACAGGCGGTGGGTGGATGGTTGGCAAATACTGAAAATATTCCAAAGAGCTCGTGAAAAGTTAAACATTTTGTCGCTACATTCTATATCCACGTACTGTCTCTCTAAGTATAGGATTCTGTACCTTGGGTATCACTCATATCATAGTCCAGAAAGACATCACCCCGAGGAACATAGAATACTGTAGAGACATCCACTCATACTACAAAGTTAAATGAATCATGAGACCCAGGCTTGAGTGGCATTGGACGGTTCGAGGACTTACGGTGAGTGATATTGGACGGTACGAGGACTTAAGATGAGTGATATTGGACGGTTCGATACCTTAGGATGAGTGAAATTAGACGGTCCGAGGACTCAGGGCGAGTGATATTGGACGGTCCAAGGACTCAGGGTGAGTCATAATGAAAGAAAGGTTCGCCTTCCAATGAGTCGATTATCTGGACCTGTTTATTTATTATCGCTGAGTATATACAGTATGATGTCACAGCTGATAGAAGATAACCTCGCTAGTCATAGGGACGTGGGAACCTACACATAAAAACTAAAGCAAAAAAAAATGTAATTTACTTCCTCCTCTTGGATTGTACCAGCTCAAGGTACAGTACTCTCCACGGTGGTATATTTGAATTTCTGGGTAGGCCCGTTATTGTGATGTGAGATCTCTGACCTTGAGCCCAATATATAAAGTATTCCCAAACGTGTTCGATCTCAAACTGATTTGACCTAATTAAGATGAGTATTTATCTTGTTATCATCAGCAGACTGACACTTGCAAATAACGTATCGGTTGTTGAATGATCTCAAAATAACGTTGCTCATAGAGCAAGTACTTGCGAATTATGATACAATAGATCTCACAATTATATAATCATAGTGACACCCTTTGAATACAACTTTCAAACTCTTAATCACTCACATGTGGCAGGCCCGTAGGCAGCAATTTCAAAAGGGGGGTTCTTTTTCTGAAAAAGTGGACCTTTTTCCATAAAAACTTCATGTACGTAGATCAAATTTTACCCAGAGTGGACCTTTTCCCAGCAAAAGGGGCGGTTCTTTCGAACCCCCCGAACCCCCCCTGGCTACGGGCCTGTGTAGCTTGTTTGTCAACATTGTCTCGTTTATAGAGGGGGACTTCAAGGTAATTCTAGAAACTCCCTTGGTTGTCTACCCACAGCAGGACCCAGCTATATGTATGGATAGGAAATTAATATGAAATCATAAAAGACATGTACCGTATTTCATTTATCTTAAATCCCCATTCAGTTTAAGATTCTGATGCCCACGTTTAAACTTCCCTTACTCCCCCCCCCCCTCCCCCCTCCCCCTCCAGGTCTGGGAATAAGACCATATGTTGTTTCAGCATATTGCACAGTCTACTAGTATTTCGTGACTTGAGGTTCAACAGCATTTTGAAGTTCTTTGCAGTTGACGCCACGTTACATCAATAATGAAGGGTGTTGTGATTCTTCTTCTTGTGTGTGTATTGGCTGTTAATGGTAAGTTTTGGAAAGAAAGAGAGAGAGAATGAGAGAGTGGGGGGGAGGAAGAGAGTAAGGCGACCCTTGTTTTACTTCACTGTCCAGAATCTAATTCCTAGAGACGGAAAGGGGGGGGGAGACTAAGGGCAGGCTGGCTGATTACAAAATTTATTAAAAAAACGCTAAGTAAATGTAAGATATCTTAATATAGACATGTGTGCAGCGTTACTATAATAACACCAATATAGTAAAATTGCAAAGATTGATAGTGACAAATGGATTAGATAAACAATGAGTATAATATATACAAATTAAACATATAGGAAATAAGTTTAAGTTATACGAGGGTGCTGTTGGTGAACGCCCCTTATTTGTTTACAGGATTTAAACGTTAAATTGGAATATCAGCAAATGAGACTTTTTAGCACTTTCAGAGCCACTTTTAAATAGCTACAAGAATCTTATTCTCAAACATATGTCATTGTCTTTATTTTAAAGCCGCTCCATTGGAGGAAAGAGCAGTTAAAGGTAATTATACATCTGTATAACTCTCCTTTAAAAGGATTTAACTCTACATGACGTATTACTAAAATAAATGATAAATAACACACTAGAGTATTTATTTGTTTATTAAATCATAATCAAATGTAAACAAGTGAAAAAATGAATATAAATATCAATAGATCTCTATTCACAAATTCACATAAAAGAAATCCATTTGTCTACATTTGTCTACTATAAGATACATATCAAGATATCCTGAAATCAAGATCGGATTTATTCTTTTTTTTTTTTTCATTTTCCTTTTACCCTTGTTAACTTTTCGACAATGGTTGAATAAATGTGATTGTCATCAATGGTATTCTTAATGCCCTTAAACCAACAAAAATTTAAAACAAAATGCGAACGCCCTTATATCTTAAAAATCTCACTTTTGTGTCTGTTTCAGATTGCACCACGATTGTAAATTGCTTCGTCCACCCTTGCACCTTCGCCAAGTGCTCTATTCCCGGCGCAGTTTGCAGGTAGGTCACCTCGAGCTCGTATCTTCACCCCGAGCAATGCAAGATTCCATTAAAGAGATAAATGGCAAATAATATGCTTTCAGATATTGATCGATTTATGGCAAATGTTTCAAATGAAGAAGACTTTTTTGATATCAATCCCACGTGAAATCTTTACCACTTTAGTTTACTTTAAAGTGACAAAAAGGCAATCGAAATAATTCCCACACTATTGGTAACAGCTATATAACTTGAAGTCCTTCACGAAAGTTTTATTTGATTGAACATAAACGATGTTTGTGCGGTTACCAATGAGTAAAAAGAAAGTGATTGAAGTAGGATTTCATTTTGAGGGATTACGTAGTGTAAATACGAATACCTTCACAAGGATATGTTCTCATTTTTGCATAGAAAGGAAATGTTTAAAAGTCAGACAGGTAAAATTAAAAATGACAAGAATTTTCAGATTATATTTCAAATTTCAGTCTACCGAACTTACTAAAACTCCTGACACTGAGAGCTTCCTTAAGCTAAAATTGATGTGTTGAACTAATAAATTTAATCATTATAATAAAAACAAGGTATGTTTCTGACATATAATGGTAGTTATACCAGTATTACTAGTTTATTTGCTTCTTTTTCAGACAAGGGTGCTTCTGCAATCCGATCTGGGAAGTGAACGGCATGGAAGTGCAATGTTAAACATTCAACCAAATGCATGACTCTTGCACCATTTATTGTGTATTAATACAATAATAAAGAATTTCCGAAACACTCGTGTTACAGTTTTTTAAAAAGAGAAAACGCACGGATAATTTCAGGCCCGTAGCCAGCAAATTAAAAAGGGGGGTTCTTTTTCTGAAAAAGTGGACCTTTAACAATGAAACCTGTGTACCTAGATAAAATTTTATCTAAAATGGACCTTTTCCTGACAAAAGGGATGGTTCTTTCGAACCCCCCCCCCCCCCAAATTATTTCTACAATTTTATAACGACTGTTCATGTTTCAAAACTATTTCTAATCACTATAATGCTTATTCTCATAGTGCACTCTGGTGGAATGATGCGATGGTTTTACTTATGAGTCTAGTTATTGATGCGAAGAAGTGACTTCAAAGATTCCCACAAAATGCATATATAATTTTGTACATGTATTTAATCGGTTAGATTAAGACTTTATCTGAAAGTTTTCACACACATTTGATATTCTTCAAACAAAACTGAAATTTCACTTTTGAAAGAATATAAATTCCATTTACTCAAAGGACCCAATTTGGACAGGAAAAGGTTTTTTTTTATCTATTCTTGGCCGTGGATTACTCATGCTAGTGGATTACTCTATAAAGGTAGAAATTGACTTATTTATGGTTTTCATGGGTGAAGGAATAAGAATATGCTACTATTTGTTGCTTTGATTATTTTGTATTTGTGATTTATCTGATATCATACACTTGCATCATTTAATACAGTTCCCTTAATTTTCAGAAATTGCTGCGCCAGGACATCACATCATCAAAATTTAATTTGATTCCTGAATCCGCCCACTGTTTATTATCAATAAATCAATAAACAATATTTTGATAAGCTGTTTATACACATCCAGACATACCTCATATATTATGTATTTATACATAAATAGCTTTTGGGTATTTACAAATGCAGGAAGAAAGTATACATTTAAAGAGTCCAGTTTGTAAAATATCATAAGTAAGCATAATAACTTTTAATCATAAACCAATTTAACACACACTAGTGATGAAGATATCCTCCAGAAAAAAAGGAATATTAAAGAAAATTGCTGACTTGAGGACGCGAAATAGAATGGCGGCATCAATAAATGAAGCACGGGAACAGCACAGATTAATTGCGTTGGAGAATACGGCGATCAAATGCAATGCAGTCCAACACAATCAGGAAACCGGGCAGTTATTCTTGGCGCAGTGCGGTCGGCGTTTTCAATGATACGGTCTTCTACTCTAGTATTAACAAACCCCTTTATATATTAAATGGGAACTATCGCTAAGAAGACGTTCGCTGCAACATTTGTAGCTCAAACTGAGGCCAAATAGATTTTTTCACATGCAAAACAGCAATGTTTCAAATTAGCAATGGTGACGTGCACAGTTTTTTAGCGCGAGTAATCTTCGAATTCCCGACTATCCTAATTTTTGCAGACTGAACTTAAGATTAGTGTAAACGAATTTAAATTTAAATATTTACGCGATAAGGAAACTAGCTGAGTCAGCAGTCGCCAAAGTATATATGTCTTCATACAACCGACCGACGAGAGATCGGCGTAAACAACTGCAAAATTCCATGAGAAATACCAACTTCTGAAGTCAAACATTTTTGATGAAATTACATATGTCTATTCCTCGTTGAGGGTGTACACGAACTACAGAAAATTATTCGAATGTTGAAGTAAACGCCGGATATTATCATAAAAACGGTGAGCTGAAATTTTAATTGAAAGGTAAGCTTACCAGTGCCTTCATTTTAATCGTTCATGTGATACGTGCATAGCTCAAGATCGCATATGACTTGAAAATCCAGGTACACATGTATCTTACCAAATCCAGTCCACCTTGGTAGTCCAAAAATTTAGAACACCCTCTTTTTGGGGGGATATTCTTGTGAAATGAAATACACATTTTGATCAATTTCTGAACAATGTGTGTTTATATTAATTTTGCTGTTCTTTATCATTTAGCAGTGCACTTGGGAGCAGTCGCATTACGACATTACTTCACTACAACAATTCTTCAGAATGGAAAGACAGTGGAACAGTTTCTGACGCGGAATAAACGGAATTTCAAATACAGATTAAAAAGGTTTGCTCCCAAATCAAAACATGACCTGCTTTTCCTGCCAAACAATCAACCTGTGCAGAACCTGGACGACTGGGACGTGACTCTGCTATTTTTTCTGATCCGCCAATTTCATCCTACTGTCCCGGCCAAATGGTACGGTTGGAATTGCTCAGAAAAAGCTAAAGCAAAAGCAGACCTCTTTCTGACACCAGAGATAGAGGCTATCATAAATATCAAGTACCACAGGAATCAACTAGTACACAGAGGCACCGATATGGTAAACGAACTGGAATTTAAAAAACTGTGGAACAGCATTGCTCCCAGTCTTATCACACTGGGCGTGGAGAAACGAGAAATTGAGACTGCCAAAATGGACATCATGAGTTATAGGCAAATAACATTACACCTAGGGAATATATCAAGTGACAAGAAGGCCCCTATTCAAGGAACAGTGACAAATCATACCACGTATCTTTGCAAGGGCAGGAGGTGGCTTTCGCTTTAATCGACAACTGCTGTGGTTTACTTCACAAAATGAATTTGTTTTGACCATGTGGACAAACAAAAAGTTCTTACATATCTGTAGGAAAATCTTTTGTTAATTTTCTGTGTCAAAGCTTTTAACATTGCCCCCCAAATAAACACTTAACTTATACCAGGCTATTTACCAGTAATCACATAATCTGGGGGTACAAATTCTAGTTTTAATTTTGTTGATTAATTATGTTGTTGAATACCAGTCTTTGGTGTTGCGATGAAAGTAAATGAATAGCTATACATACTGTATATTATTCCAGTACATATGATTTGTATGATAATGTAATAATACTGAACATAATAATAGATTTACGTTGTAATTTTAATATTTACATTTTACTAATTTTACATTTATTTTAGATCTGTGAAGCCAAGTTTAGGTATTCCTGTATCAAAAGACATACTTGACATTAAATATGGAACGTTTTGTTCCAAATCATTTTTCATCAATTTTATCGTATTTTTCTGACAACTAAATGAAAATAAGGGTTAAATTGTGTTTTAATAACATTTAATAGTCTCCTTGATGTCATTGTGACATCAGTTCGTTAATTGAATTCGCCATTGAAGCAAATAAAAATACATTGACAACCATAAAAGGCAATATTCTGAATCTCCATATTTTCCAAATTATCATCTGTAACTGCTACAAAGAACCCTAATGTCAGTGTCTAGTCACAACAACGGTGGTGCGACTGACCTCATCTGGTTGCTGCCAGGACTTTTCTCTCTGATAATGCCACCGAGAAGATAGCAATTTTTGGCTTTTTGTTACTGGATGGTGATGATGACGCTTCGGATTTCTTTTACATCCATGCACGCTTCCGTGTATCATGCCACGCCCCTAAATCGGGTACTACTGTCCGACTACGTCCAAAAATAAAACAGTACCCTAACCTCTTACCCTAACCTTAGCGTTTACCCTAACCCTAGCCCTAACACTAACCCTAAACCAAACCCTTAATATTAACCCTAACCCTAACCTAACCATTACCTATTCCTAACATTTACCCTAACCTTCATGTAACCCTATCACTAACTCTAACCATAACCGTTACCCTAACCCTTAAAATATAATAAATGAAAATAAATTTGATCTGTAGATAAGATTAAAAAGGAAATCAACTGTGATAATTAATACTACGTGCTGCTGATAGGTAAAAAAACTATTTTGGTAGGTGTGGGATTGATTTAAAAAATTCAATGGCAGCTCAAAACAGAGCCGTGAGAGACTAGCTTTTACTGGTAAAAATAATGAGATACATATCTCGCTTTACTCCAATACATGAAAGGTTTTCTTTTATGTATTTAGTTGGTAGCAAGTTATGGCAGTGATATTGTCATGTTATTATCTTACGTTTTTATACGCCACCTATTTTCTGGAGGCTCTCTCAATTTGTATACATTAAATTGTCATTCTTTTGGTTCATCAATCACAACATTCAAAAAACTAAACATTAACGCAATAACGCCCCCCCCCCATCCGCTCCCGACACACACACACACACACACACACACACACACACCTATCGTCATCTCTTCCAAGAACCCTTCACCAACACAGAGCTCTCTGTATTAGTTTTATCTTTACGTCTTGTTATCTTTTCTCACCTCCAGACCCGTGGCACAAACGCCTGATAAACAACAGTGCCGCCAGCGTCAGCATCATGAACGGCAACATGTCTTAAGACGTGTAACGTAAATTTGACAGAGCTTCTAGTATTTAGTTTGTGTACTATTTTTTAACGATGCACGTGTGTTATGTGTAGAAAAATATAATATTTTATATGTAGAAAAATCCAGGGATATTGTACAACAGTGAGCGGATGCGTATGTGTGATTCTTTTCCGGCTGAAGCGGAAGGTAGGTGAAACGAAGTCGGTGCTTGAGTCCTGTGCAAGATACAAACGAAAGTTTTCCGCATACCTTGTAAAGACATGTCGTCTTGTCAATGTACTATTTTAACTAATTTTGTAACACATCGATGAAAATCTTTTGGTAAGTGAAATATTCACGAATGTAGCCTAATCCCCGACATTTTATTGAAGAAGTTACAGAATGTATGTTGTGCCAATAAATAAATGAATAAATAAATAAATAAATATATGAATAAATAAATAAATAAATAAGTGTATTTATATATAACAATAAGTTTATTAGCAATTTGTTTTCACGGGAATGTTTATACTCTTCTGGAGGGCCTATCATTTTTATTTAGCACCCAGTTGCTCCAACCGGTGAAAAATTATACAATGAAAATTATTTTATAAATAAACTGACTTCTTCATCCAATCATTTTATATAAATAGCAAAAATTTTTTAAAAATTACAACCACTTGTCCATTTTTTTTTTTTTTTGTCCGTAGAGAAGGTAATAGGCCAACATACCGATGCACGCAAGGTATCTCTTAATATGAGAATATGAGAGGCTAAATAAACTACCGTGATCTTTTTGCAGCGAAGCCTCTCAAGTTACCAGACATACGTGGGGGGCATCCCAGTAGAGACCTGACAGGTACTCGGTCAGACAGCGCACAGCCTGTTTCCAAGCCACTGATGGGGATTACATGTCTTCAGGGTATGGCTTCGACACAAGACCGTGCCTCGGTAGATTCTCGTCCCTGCCTGCCGGACCTGCCTCACGCCACTCAATGGGGTAAGCATTCGCAGTCAACAAAGACGAGTGAGAATGATTCTGCTTTATATGTCAACTGTCGCTTTAAAATGTAAAATGTCTGCTTTGGTCAGCTTGCTTGTGTTTTTTTTCTTTTACTCTCTCTCAATTTAAACATAAATGTGTAGGCCTATCATTTTTGATCTCTCTCTCTCTCTCTCTCTCATATTGACGCCATGTCCACTCTTCTTCCAGGTAAACTTCACACAAAGCACCTGTACACCCACAACGACGCTAAATATTCTTGCGACAAAGAATCCGAGGAGCTTAGTCTCCCTCCAATATTTGGCCATGGGATCAAACATCAGAAGGCCGAAAATCGGGAGGAAAGAAATAAAGCTAAGAAATGACTCTATTCAAACTTTTCAGCATAAACTATAAGTTCTATCGGTGTCTGTTAGGAATACGCTGTGTGAGTTTATACATGTAATATTGGACCTGAAATTACGCTTCACATCGATCAAAAATGCTCTGTGCGAATGCAATTGGTGATTGTCTGTGAATTCATCGGACGCACAGGATAGAAGGATTAAAAAAAACTAAAAAAATCTGAGTAGTATGGCGTCGTTCACAAGACCGAGTATGGATTTTTTTCTTTTTGGCCTCCCTCGAATATCATCTTCGGTGCGGTATGCAAGGTGTCCACGAGAGAAGACGACATTTGACCCGATGCTGGTCAGCACGTGACTGCAGAAGATACAGAGACAGAGAACGCCATTCTTATAGCGACGTACATTATCTTCAACCTTAACCGAGATGTCGCTCCGATATTTTGCTGCAGTAAATATTAACACCTTTTGATTTTGTCTGTGATAAGATATCACTCTCTTACAATGATAATTAACACGCACAGGCAAAATACGGTTTTAGGAGTTATTTAAGTTTTAGAATATATTTTTGAAAAGAGAAATAAATAATATGTATTTTAAATTATTACTCTGTCTTCGTTAAATACACAACACCAAACTTAAAAGGCATAACAGTCGCCCTGATGTGACGCTGCCACAAAAATCAAATCTTTGTCAATATTTTTTAGAAAGAAACAGAAGTATTTAAAATCCTTCTCCTTTCAGTCGGCGACGCCCCAAAAATAAACCTCGAACTGTATATGCAATTGCCAAAAAATAAATAAATAAATAAATAAATAAAATAAATAAATAAATAAATAAATAATAATAATAATAAATGAATAATAAATGAAACAAAAAATAATAATAAATAAACAAAATTACAGCCACAACAATATTTCATTTTTCAAAATAACATTTATTTCAAAATACTCAGAAATGCGGCACAAATGCAGCACGGACACACGGAAGCTGCTAATATATTACAGCGAAAAATATCAACAATGAAATAAAATTGTGTCAATTAAGATTTAGAATCTTCACACATACATCAGGCACTCTAAACTCCCCCAGAGGGAAAGTACACTACATAACCTCGGTCTTGATGATTAATTGACCTAGAAGAGAGTAGCGCGTTACTGGATACATTTGCACATACGTAACAATCTAGCCGTCGTACCCCAACTGCACCGGAAACTCTCTATTAAGGCCATTGCTTAGTTTTACACCCTGAGGTTCGTCGTGCCAAAAGCGAGTTATCTGTCTAAAATCAACACACTTTGGTACTGGTGACGACTAGACAAACAGGGTGGAGCAGCGTCGTTCTCAGTACACTGTACAAAGCAACTCTGCAAATTCACTGCAGAATAAAATTACATTTCTAATTTGGTTTTGTATCAAAAAATACACCTTCACCCTCGCTTTTGTGCACCTATGGTGGTGCTTTAATTCGAATTGTGACGGCTCAACATGTTTCTAATCATAATCCTGAGAACTGGTGTAACGTGACAGAGAGCCCCCCATGACAGAGAGTCCGCTTCCCATTCATTTGTGCTGGTGAGCCTCGCCCTAGATTTTGACCCACTTAGGTCAGACTAACCCTAACCATTTTAACTATATGGAGGGTGGACCTTCTGTTACACGGACCCTCAGTTTCGTTACACTAATTGCTTTTGTCATCGAGGCTCTAGTCGGTCGCGTTAAACCGTCTCCATGCGGCCAAAACCAACTTGTACCTTGAGGACCCGATCTATTGAGACAGTACGCAATAAGGTTCGCCGATACAAGTCGACTAGAAACACAACCCGTGATACACAACTATAACATACCGTACCAATATTAAAAACAATTAAACATGAAAGACGACCAATGTGATGCAAATACCAATAGGATGCATATACACACAATATAAATTCATGAATGATGCATTTTCTATATGAAACCAGTATATGACGATTTTGGGGAAAATGAATTATCCCCCTGTTGATTTTCTGTTTTCATTTTCGAGCTGGAAATCATACATTAAAACTATTCCTAAACAATCAACTTCTGAGTGGGATTTGCCACATGTTAATCCGAAGCCTTACGAAACTGCCCTTAAATTGCGTGCCCATTCATACCTTACACTTAAAAGCATAAAATTTCACAACTAATTACCTTCTCAATTCAAAGAAATAAACTTGAAAAACAGGAACTCAATCCTTTTATCACCAAAGTGTCAAGCAAAACATAAATCAAATTAATTTTACAAAGCAAGAAATAGCAGTAAAATAAACATACTTAAATATAAATGTGAAAATAGTTTCATAGGATCTCAATTTTGATAGTCAAAATGTTTTCTTTTATGATAGATCCAGATAATTGATTTACCTGTTGACTGTTTCGTCTGTTCAACTCTGACATTCTCAAATGATGACATTCTCAAAGCCACCCTGGGGGAGGGGGCGAGAGGGGCTAACAAGTCATCATCAAGACTGAGGTAATTACCTGTTCACCTTCACCTGAACAGGTAATTCAGTTATGACCAAGTCTGTCAGAGTGAACAGGCGAAACAGTAAACAGGTAAATCAAATATCTGGATCTATCATAAATGAAAACTTTTTGACTAGACTTAAATATAGTTATAATATAAAGGCTGACATTGGAATATACATTATCGTTTTATTAAACTAGGACAGTTTTTCATGTATACCCGTAAAGCATATTATTGCAGATATCTTGGTAAAAAAATCAACAATTCGCTTGAGTAAATTATGAACAAGTGTCCAAGTGGAATAAAAGCGCTGTTATGAAGACATATTTAGCTTTACTTATCGAAAATAAATATTTGAGCTGCAATTTTGAAAATGGATTCTATGTACAATTATGACAGTCAATGCAAGATGACGACAAACGTACATAACACTTATTAAACTTGCTAAACATTAACAGTAGTCGAACCGGTTCAGAACCACAACGCAAGTTATTTAATTTCTTAAAGCCTTATTTTGCCCCGGACGCATACAAAGATATTCTACTTAAACTCTGTCTGTTGATTGTTGAACTACGTTATTTGAACCAAGCAAAAGCTCCCGCTAGATGGCTATGCCTCTGATTCTGAACCGATCCAAAACATCACTAGTGTAAACGCACCAAACATGATTGCATTTAAAACACTGACACCTAAAAAAACAAGCAAAAATAAAATTAAGTCACGCAATGTGAGGGAACTAAAGACCACTCAAAGGTTTTTTTAGCGTCAACCTACAAGATTGTAGAGGCCCGTTTCCATGCAACTTGCAACGGCCTTACTTAGCACCGTTTGAAAAACAGCCTAATCCTCTTGTTTTGAGGTAAGTCACATGTCGTTAGATTGGCTTGTTTTGTAAAAAAACCTTAACCACACAGTTCAACAAGATAGCACGTTTTAAGATAAGTCGTCATACTTTGACTGGAAACGCACCTAGAGACGCCGCTCCCTCATGCTAACACTAAAACGGTTCGAAATCAAAACCTGTCAAAACACACCTTAGGTATTGGCAAAAATGGAAAGCGAATGTACGTATACACATATTATACATATTTAAGCAATCGGTTAAAACGGTTGAATACATCTAAAATAGTATCACACTTGGTCACGTTTTGCTCTCACGTGCGCAAAACCACGGGAATGTAAAAGTGATTGAGTTTTCAATAATATCACATGCTATGAAGATGCCATTTAAATGGAAAATTGTGAGGACAAAAAGATGCCCATGACATTTCAGAAAGAACCGCAATCACCGTGGCTTCTCAACCAAAATGGTAATGCGGACGCAATGCATTATCGTCAGGCATAATCTTTTCTAAAAAAGAAAAAAAAAAAAAAAACATGCCAGACACCATTTTATTATCATCACGTATGAATGTGTGAGAATTAATGTGAAAATGTCGTAAAATGTTGACTAAGATTATATATATATATATAGCCTTAACGGGTCGAAGCCATATGACATCCCCATTAGTTCAATTACATCTACAGGGATGAGACTGGCATTTCATGCCAAAAAAGTTGGAAAATATGGCATGGGGTCCAGGGGGCCCCATAAGCCAAAGATATTTTTGGTTCCCAAAAGTTGGAATCCGACGATAGTAGGGAAAATATCATTCCTGCATCTACTAAGAAGTATCACAACCAAACAAGATCAGAGTGACGTCTGTAATACCCCGTACGACCTCTTTTTGACCTCTCTCTGACCCCTGTATATCACGAGGAAGATTACAAGTAGCTAGCTCCAGATGTTGTCGTTGAAAGTATACGCCAATCCGACTTAAGGTCGCTGCAAAAGCTTTCTTTTCATTGCACCATTTTCATTTGGAAGCCAGGCGTGACAGACGATGAAATCTACTCGACAAATCCATATCAGTTTGAGCTAAATCTCCATGGCAATGTCATCTCCATGGCAACCCCTTATTTGGCAGACGACAGACGGCCTTTTTCCAAATGATGCTAACACATTGACGCTTTTCAGTACATTATCTTCATATTTTAACATCAACAAAATACATGTCATGGTTTAAATGAAAAAGCCCAAAATAACAAAAATAAATAAAGAAATGGAGAAAAAAAGAAAACAGCCGAAGAAACATTTCGCATATTTCAGCTTTCACATAATATTTCACTTAATGGCATAATGAGACGTCAGACCTTCCCATATTGAGATAACATAATAACATTATTGTGGTGACTAACTGAACGTCCATTCTTCCCGGCACAGTCCGTCTTTACACGCCTGGCAGAGCTCGGCATTGTGCTGATTTCTGGGTTTTCCTGGCCGTCTGTCTATCCGGAGGGGCGGGCGGTAGAAGCCGTAATACACCTGTCCCACTCTGTTGTACACATTGCCGACGACCTGTAGAGGAAATGGAGACGTTAAGGTGACTGTTGTAATAAGGCTGTGGAAATTACATATAATAATAATAATGCTATCAACTTAAAAATAAGTTTATTATTTTTTTTAATTTCTTTCTCACTCTTTTTTAATTTTATTTAATCTATTTATTATTTTTTTTTTTTGGGGGGGGGGGGTCGTCTTCGATCCGTCTTTCGAAACATGATCTCCAACCAGGATGTTTCGGACGTAGTTTTAGTCAATATCTTGTTCAATTAGAAATGGCGTGTTTCAACGTGTGAGCAGACCCAGGGGCGTTTTTTTTTAAACTGATAACATCTGCGTCAAGAATACGACACTTTGTTTGTTTTCAATAGCAAACAGGATGTTAACAGGATACACTGTACACCATGAGTAAGACATGACGAAGTGAGGAAGTTTTTTTCTTAGGTCGCCAGCTTTTTGTTTTTAAACAGTTAAAAAACTACATGGTTGTCGTTTATTCAAGTGCTGACAAAGAAACGATGTGAAATAAATAAATAAATAAATAAATAAATAAATAAATAAATAAATAAATCAAAGAAATGAATTGATAAATAAATAACATGCAACATTTTAAACGAACTCTTCACAAATTATTCACAGAGAACAATTAAGTCTCTGAACAGAGAACGGGTCTAATTTACATCTGGTGTGAATCCTACCGACCTTGATGACCTCCTCCGGGTACCACATGGCGTGTTCAAACTTTTCACTCTTACATCGGTTGCACTGTTGCCCGTACAGCTTGAAGAGGACATAGCCGGAGTTGGTTGCCACGTTCAGATGAAACCAGAAGACCACGCGTCCCTTCATACTGGTCCAGCCGTGACCGCACTCCTTAAAGATAAATTAAATAATATTGTATATAAATCTGTTTATCTGATGACTTAATATACGACTTTTTGATGCTGCTTCAATGGCGTTTACATTTCTGAAATAAAAAAAAGAAGTAAACTCTTGATTCGAATTATAATTGATTAAAAGCACTTTTCGAACTAGCCCCCACCCCTGTATGTACACTGTAAGAAACAAAATAATAAAATATCCTTATGAAATTGGCACGACAAGGTCTTTAAAATTGTAAAAAAAGTTAAGAATAAATCATATAGCTTTACTGCCTCATCCTTACTGTAGATTTTTATAAAGTGAATGTAATTTGAGCTGCAGTTAAATTTAGAAGTCAATTCCAAGAAGGCTTTGGTTTAATATGGGTCTTATTTCGTTCAGGTGAAGCGTTCTTAGAACACCTAAAACCACAAAACAGGACACAAGATAAAGCATGATAAAATGTACATTAGTCCCTGGTACCGGTAGATGAACAAATTTTCAATTGCTAATGAAAGTCTTTAAAACGTGAAAAGTAAAGAATAGAAAATAAATAAGTGAATGAATGAATAAAGGTGCTGGTGAGCAAAAAAAAACAAAGTTCCTAATGCAATGCAAGTGAAATGCTTACCAGTATCTATTTAGCTTGCTTAAATTTCGTATGTAAAACGGCAGTTATCATTTATAAGGAAAATATTAAGAATATAGTTTGACTATAATTAGACTGGTTATAGGACAGCATGTTTCAGAGACACTCAACGGGTGTGATGAGGGTATAAACAAACGTTGCTTGGCAATGCCGGTTGCTATGACAGCAAGTAGAGATTGCCAAGCGAAGTTTCGAATTTAAAGAAAGGTCGAAATTAATGTAAGGAAATAAAAAAGAGGCAAAATCACATGCAAAATCACAGCTAAAAAAGCATATCATAAGATTATCTAGGGAAATGCTTCAATTAAAAAATACCATGGGTTTCAGTTGTTTAAAAAAGCAAAGTGGTCTGAAGCAGCTGAAAATTTCAGTATCTAGGAACACAAGATTAACTTAATTAAGCAGGAACAAAACTCTTAATCTAAAAAAAAAAAAAAAGAATACTGCAGACACAGTACGTAGGAAACACAAAATTGATGGTATTTATTTTATTTAATTTTTTAATCTGATTTTATTTTATTTATTTTTTTAGCTAAAGCGATATTTCAAAACCTATACGCCAGTATACTTACACAATATCGGCTGTATGTTACAACCAGTATGTCATGTAACGGCCCATACTTTACAATCAGAACATGATATGAAACTACAACTTTTTTCATCTAGATAATTTGTTCCAACGCTGGTATATAGGCCCTATGATGGCTGCTGCGTATTTACACTAAATATTATATGGTCAGAATTGATAACAAAATTTGGAATTTTCACATAAACTGTATGATGTCAGAATTTTTGGGATCGTGTGCTTCAAATCCGAAGCTTTTAAAATATATCATTTGCCATACATTTCAATAGATGCGTTACCTAAGTTGAATCACAATTTTAACTGAATCAATTTATAATCAGTTAGTCTCAATTATCAAATAACAAATATTCATTTTGAATTTATACCAAATTTCCAAAGCAATTGGATTAGTTTTATAATCAGAGATGGGCTTAAAATTCATTATCTAACTGACCCACAAGAGGAAAAAAAAGAAAAGCTTTTTTTTTCCATTTTCGTTAGAATATCAACATTCAATACTTTCTTCAAATAAAACTACATTTTATATTAATGTCTTAACGATGAAAATATTAATTTCGCTCTTAAAAGGTGCATGTAACAGTCCACCATATTTTGACAGCCCGACAGTTTTTCTCTTTGTCATTCCAACTAAAGAGGTCAGAAGCGTGAAGAATAATAGAAAAACTAGTTTAACCGCAAACAAATTTAAAAGAGAAAGAGCGGACGCTCTGTAGTCAAATGTTGAGGTGATATAGATGTGTTGCCTTCCGCGTTGAGGTTGACGTTTTAGTTTGAAAGCAACCCGGGAGCAATTTCCTTGCTAGCTTCCTGATTTTCGTCGAGAGCGAAAGTGAAAATATTCAAAACAGATTTAACCTTTATAAGTTATAAACGTGTATATTCCAATATTTTATCACAATCAATATGCACTTCAGCCTATGGGACGCCAGTTACTAAATGAATAGAATATGAATTATGAAGTAAATAATAATAAAACAAAGCCAACTGCTTTACATGATCACGGGGAAAAAGAGAATATTTGGTTAATTTTCCAAAGGAACGCCTTGCCATTCAATCCCAGGTAGGACCCCTTTTGTCCAATTTTGTGCCGAATGTCCCCATGGTAGAAGGCTAGCCTGAGGGTTTGTTCCATGGTGTTTGAGTATATTGATGTGACAACTGCCCTTTGGTGTCCTTAACTTATAGTTTTCAACTCAACTTTCATAGCCACAAATATTTACTTGTTTACGGGTGGATGCCTACACACAAGTGTCAGAACCCTGTGACGCCCACATCCGACCCCCCCCCCACCCCCACCCACGGCACCCCCGCCCATACTCCACCACCCAGAGAATAACAAGAATAAGAACGGTAACACTATATAACGTTAATACTTACGATATGAAATTCAGGATGCATGGCTTAAGTAATTTATAAGAAAAATTATTACCCCTAACCATAATTTTTCCAAATGTTAAAATAAAAAGCGGAGGAGTTCAGACGGAAGTTGATAGATGGAGTGCCAAAGTGCATAGAATTAATTTCTGGTTTTGTTGGCATCAGTTTATAATATCCATCTCATGAATGTGACTTTCCACTAACCTTGCAGTCACGACTGGGGGTTGTGGAGAACTAGGGAGTCTGGGTTTGTTATTATATACTAAATACATCCCTAACGTCGGCGTGACTTTCCACTAGCCCCTGTCTAATACGTGTGCCTCAGAGTCACGAGCTCTGGCTTGCTATCGGAGATTTTCTTGTCCAAATCAAACCACGTGAATCCAAGTTTGTCTTTTTGTTGTTGTTGTTGTTCGCACTTGATCTATCAACTTCTTTCTTACAGGCAGCAATTCCCGCCCCCCCCCCCACACACACCAACACACACACACACACACACACACACACACACACACACACACAGGCACACACACACACACACACAGGCACAAATGTGCACGCGCATACACGCGCGCACGCAAACAAAAAGAAACCACAAGTGTACACGAATAAATAAATAAATAAAATAAACAAAATACNACATGCCAGACACCATTTTATTATCATCACGTATGAATGTGTGAGAATTAATGTGAAAATGTCTTAAAATGTTGACTAAGATATATGTATATCCTTAACGGGTCGAAGCCATATCACATCCCCATTAGTTCAATTACATCTACAGGGACGAGACTGGCATTTCATGCCAAAAAAGTGGGAAAATGTGGCATGGGGTCCAGGGGGCCCCATAAGCCAATGATATTTTTGGTTCCCAAAAGTTGGAATCCGACGATAGTAGGGAAAATCTCATCCCTGCATCTTCTAAGAAGTATCACAACCAAACAAGATCAGAGTGACGTCTGTATGAGCCCGTACGACCTCTTTTTGACCTCTCTGTGACCTCTGTATATCACGAGGAAGATTACAAGTAGCTAGCTCCAGATGTTGTCGTTGAAAGTATACGCCAATCCGACTTAAGGTCGCTGCAAAAGCTTTCTTTTCATTGCACCATTTTCATTTGGAAGCCAGGCGTGAGAGACGATGAAATCTACTCGACAAATCCATATCAGTTTGAGCTAAATCTCCATGACAATGCCATCTCCATGGCAACCCCTTATTTGGCAGACGACAAACGGCCTTTTTCCAAATGATGCTAACACATTGACGCTTCTCAGTACATTATCTTCATATTTTAACATCAACAAAATGTATGTCATGGTTTAAATGAAAAAGCCCAAAATAACAAAAATAAATAAAGAAATGGAGAATAAAAGAAAAAAAGCCTTAGAAACATTTCACATATTTCAGCTTTCACAATATATTTCACTTAATGGCATAATGAGACGTCGGACCTTCCCATATTGAGATAACATAATAACATTATTGTGGTGACTAACTGAACGTCCATTCTTCCCGGCACAGTCCGTCTTTACACGCCTGACAGAGCTCGGCATTGTGCTGATTTCTGGGTTTTCCTGGTCGTCTGTCTATCCGGAGGGGCGGGCGGTAGAACCCGTAATACACCTGTCCCACTCTGTTGTACACATTGCCGACGACCTGTAGAGGAAATGGAGACGTTAAGGTGACTGTTGTAATAAGGCTATGGAAATTACAAATAATATTAATAATGCTATCAACTTAAAATTAAGTTTATTATTTTTTTAAATTTCTTTCTCACTCTTTTTTTTATTTTTTTAATCTATTTATTTTTTTTGGGGGTGGGGGGTGGGGGGTGGGGGGGGGTCGTCTTCGATCCGTCTTTCGAAACATGATCTCCAACCAGGATGTTTCGGACGTAGTTTTAGTCAATATCTTGTTCAATTAGAAATGGCGTGTTTCAACGTGTGAGCAGACCCAGGGGCGTTTTTTTAAACTGATAACATCTGCGTCAAGAATACGACACTTTGTTTGTTTTCAATAGCAAACAGGATGTTAACAGGATACACTGTACACCATGAGTAAGACATGACGAAGTGAGGAAGTTTTTTTCTTAGGTCGCCAGCTTTTTGTTTTTAAACAGTTAAAAAACTACATGGTTGTCGTTTATTCAAGTGCTGACAAAGAAACGATGTGAAATAAATAAATACATAAGTAAGTTTTAACTTAAAATTAAAGAAATGAATTAATAAATAAATAACACGCAATATTTTAAACGAACTCTTCACAAATTATTCACAGACATCAATTAAGTCGGTAAAGAGAGAACAGGTCTAATTTACACCTGGTGTGAATCCTACCGACCTTGATCACCTCCTCCGGGTACCACATGGCGTGTTCAAACTTTTCACTCTTACATCGGTTGCACTGTTGCCCGTACAGCTTGAAGAGGACATAGCCGGAGTTGGTAGCCACGTTCAGATGAAACCAGAAGACCACGCGTCCCTTCATACTGGTCCAGCCGTGACCGCACTCCTTAAAGATAAATTAAATAATATTGTATATAAATCTGTTTATCTGATGACTTAATATACGACTTTTTATGCTGCGTTTACATTTCTGAAATAAAAAAGAAGAAGTAAACTCTAGAGTCGAATTGTAATTGATTAAAAGCACTTTTCGAACTAGGCCGCCCTGGCTGTACATTGTAAGAAACAAAATAATAAAATATTCTTTTGAAATTGGCACGACAGGGTCGTTAAAATTGTAAAAAAAAAAGTTAAGAATTAAACATATAGCTTTACTGCCTCATCCTTACTGTAGATTTTTTAAAGTGAATGTAATTTGAGCTGCAGTTACATTTAGAAGTCAATTCCAAGAAGGCTTGGGTTTAATATGGGTCTTATTTCGTTTGGGTGATGCGTTCTTAGAACACCTAAAACCACAAAACAGGACACAAGATAAAGCATGATATAATGTACATTAGTCCCTGGTGCCGGTAGATGAACAAATTTTCAATTGCTAATGAAAGTCTTTAAACGTGAAAAGTAAAGAATAGAAAATAAATAAGTGAATGAATGAATAAAGGTGCTGGTGAGCAAAAAAAAAAATCCTTATGCAATGCAAGTGACATGCTTACCGGTATCTATTTAGCTTGCTTAAATTTCGTATGCAAAACGGCAGTTATCATTTATAAGGAAAATATTAAGAATATAGTTTGACTATAATTAGACTGGTTATAGGTAAATCGGACAGCATGTTTCAGATACACTCAACGGGTGTGATGAGGGCATAAACAAACGTTGCTTGGCAATGCCGGTTGCCATGACAGCAAGTAGAGATTGCCAAGCGAAGTTTCGAATTTAAAGAAAGGTCGAAATTATTGTAAGGAAATAAAAGACAGGCAAAATCACATGCAAAATCACAGCTAAAAAATCAAATCATAAGATAATCTAGGAAAATGCTTCAATTAAAAAATAACATGGGTTTCAGTTGTCTAAAAAAAAGCAAAGTGGTCTTAAACAGCTGAAAATTCAGGAGTATCTAGGAAAACAAGATTAACTTAAGCAGGAACAAAACTCTCGATTAAAAAAAAAAACTCCAGGCGACAACAAAAAGAATACTGCAGACACAGTACGTAGGAAACACAAGTTTGATGGTATTTTTTTATTTAATTTTTTTAATCTGATTTTATTTTATTTATTTTTTAGCTAAAGCGAGATTTCAAAACCTATACACCAGTATACTTACACAATATCTGCTGTATGTTACAGCCAGCATGCCATGTAACGGCCCATACTTAACAATCAGAACATGATATGAAAATACACCTTTTTTTCATCTAGATGTTTGTTCCGACGCTGGTATATAGGCCCTATGATGGATGCTGCGTATATACACTAAATACCATAAGGTCAGAATTGATAACAAAATTTGGAATTTTCACATAAAATGTATGATGTCAGAATTTTTGGGATCGTGTGCTTCATATCCGAAGCTTTTAAAATATATCTATTTGCCGTACATTTCAATAGATGCGTTACCTAAGTTGAAACACAATTTTAACTGAATCAATTAATAATCAGTTAGTCTTAATTAATAAATAACAAATATTCATTTTGAATTTATACCCAATTTCCAAAGCAATTGGATTAGTTTCATAATGAGAGCTGGGCTTAAAATTCATTATTTAACTGACCCACAACAGGAAAAAAAAGAAAAGCTTTTTTTTTTCATTTTCGTTCGAATATCAACATTCAATACTTTCTTCAAATAAAACTACATTTTATATTAATGTCTTAACGATAAAATTATTAAATTCGCTCTAAAAAGGTGCATGTAACAGTCCACCATATTTTGACAGCCCGACAGTTTTTCTCTTTGTCATTCCAACTAAAGAGGTCAGAAGCGTGCAGAATAACAGTAAAACTAGTTTAACCGCAAAAAAATTTAAAAGAGAAAGAGCGAACGCTCTGTAGTCAAATTTTGAGGTGATACAGATGTGTTGCCTTCCGCGTTGAGGTTGACGTTTTAGTTTGAAAGCTACCCAGGAGCAATTTCCTTGCTAGCTTCCTGATTTTCGTCGAGAGCAAAAGTGAAAATATTCAAAACAAGTGTCCAATTTCAAAGTTTAAATCAACCTCAATAAGTTATAAACGTGTATATTCCAATCTTTTATCACAATCAATATGCACTTCAGCCTATGGGATGCCAGTTACGTGTCAGAAGCCTGTAACGCCCACACCCGACCCCCCCCCCCCCACCCCCACAAATATTTACCTGTATACGGGTACTGGGGTAGATGCCTACACACATGTGTCAGAACCCTGTAACGCCCGTACCGGCCCCCCCCCCCAACCCCCGGCACCCCCGCCCATACATCCACCACCAAGAGAATAACAAGGATAAGAACGGTAACACTACATAACGTTAATACATACGTAATTAAATTCAGGATGCATGGCTTAAGTAATTTATAAGAAAAATGATTACCCCTAACCATAATTTTTCCAAATGTTAAAATAAAAATCGGAGTTCAGACGGAAGTTGATAGATGGAGTGCCAAAGTGCCTAGAATGAATTTCTGGTTTTGTTGGCATCAGTTTATAATAGCCATCTCATGAATGTGACTTTCCACTAACCTTGCAGTCACGACTGGGGGTTGTGGAGAACTAGGGAGTCTAGGTTTGTTATTATATACTAAATACATCCCTAACGTCGGCGTGACTTTCCACTAGCCCCTGTCTAATATGTGTGCCTCAGAGTCACGAGCTCTGGCTTGCTATCGGAGATTTTCTTGTCCAAATCAAACCACGTGAATCCAAGTTTGTCTTTTTGTTGTTGTTGTTGTTGTTGTTCACACTTGATCTATCAATTTCTTTCTAACAGGCAGCAATTCCCGCGCCCACACACACACCAACACACACACACACACACAGGCACAAATGTGCACGCGCATACACGCGCGCACGCAAACAAAAAGAAACCACAAGTGTACACGAATAAATAAATAAATAAATAAATAAAATAAACAAAATTANGTTTGTCTTTTTGTTGTTGTTGTTGTTGTTGTTCACACTTGATCTATCAATTTCTTTCTAACAGGCAGCAATTCCCGCGCCCACACACACACCAACACACACACACACACACAGGCACAAATGTGCACGCGCATACACGCGCGCACGCAAACAAAAAGAAACCACAAGTGTACACGAATAAATAAATAAATAAAATAAACAAAATACAATTAAAAAGCAATCCATATTGGTGATCTTTCAAACACTGGTGACAAGGACACGTTGGTATTTGCCCCTATACTTCCTCTATTAATTCCCCTATCCTTGACGTTAAAAATAACCCCATCCATTTACATCTCACAGCACAGAAGGAAATTCAGGAGAAGTATTAGCAAATGGAAGACATAATTTACTAGACGTTGTAGTTCCTGAAAGTCCGGAGTCTTACTACTTAATTCAGGTCGCTTATAAGAATTAAGCTGACAGATCATTCTCTGGCGCTCAGACAGTCAAAGTATTTGATCATAGCAAACTGCTTACACATTTCTAAAGAAAAAAGGCGTTACTTTCTATAGCAATAAAAAACAGTTCATTAAAAAATGCTATACTGCTTAAATAGAGTAAGGTTTCCCGATAGTGCGTTTAATACATTTACATTTGCTGTTTAACAAATGACTCGTGTCACTGGGTAATCGGAGGATAAGAATTCTACACCAAAGATATCATGCTTGTCAGACATACAAGCCAGTGGACTGTGAAAGGGTTACCTAAATGTAGCAAATTCTGACCCAGTAGATTAGCACCTGGGGTAAGTACACGTGCCGTTGGGCCCCCTCCCCCCCCCCCACCCCTCACTCCCACCCTCCCTTCTCCCAAACTGATTTTTCACAAGATAATTACACTTATGCCTCTAGTCAATTCATGACACTTTTCTTCACTGCGTTGAAGAAAAGTGCATATAACTATTTTGCGGCTCCGGTAGAGGGTTCATGATCCGCTGCTGCAGATGCCTAATTACATTACCTATTATAACGTAACCAAGAGTGAGGAACCTGCAACCTGTGACAATTGCTAATCATATGTATTTATGTATCCATAAAACTGCATAAGAATACGTGAATTGTTGTTCATCTATGAATTTTAATCCATATACACCTATGAACCACTGTTAATCGATATATATTTCATGCTTATTTGCTATTTCAATTAAGAGAAAACCCAATTTCAGATGGATGATAGGTCCACTAATAGTGAACAGATGCAAGGAGCATCTGCAGTGAAATGCAACACTGCAGCTTAACAAATGAGATCGTGACGGAGGATAGAACGTAAATCGTTGTCTCCTCACAATAGAATAAAAATCAACTTGAAACGTTGGTAAGCAGACATAAAACTTGGGCAAGCCCCCCTCCCCCCCTCTCTCTCTCTCTCTCTCTCTCTCTCTCTCTCTCTCTCTCTCTCTCTCTCTCTCTGAACCTATTTTCAATCCTGGTAAATTCAATATATTACAGCATGGCGAACAAAAGTGAAGTAATTGACCTGAATGATAATTCATAATGCGGGTCTTCGCCGTTCAACAATCCGGACTTAGCAGAGCATACCATGGTGTACCCAGTGAACTACTTTTCGGTGATACTCTCTGATCGGCCAAGAACTGATTTGTCGTAATCTCGGCTCCAGGGAATCTAGCAGGGGAGAGGGCACTTTTTGTCTTCGCCCCCCCTCCCCCATTTCCTCCTCTTCTGCTTCCCCAAGACATCTTTCGAAAGAGCGGTGCGATTTAAGAACTCTGGGACGAATTACGTGTGTGTGTGTGTGTGTGTGTGTGTGTGTGTGTGTGTGTGTGTGTCGGAGACGGGGGAGGGGGGGGTTGGGGGGCTCAGAGATTCTTTCTTTAAAGAAAAAGAGACGCCCCTTCCCCACCGACTAGCTTACGGTGTATTTGGCAACCCCGAGTTTCAGATCCCAGATTCGACATCCATTAATAACAAGTGCGTGAACAGTGCTGTACAAAACATATGGTCTGAATGCGCATGAAGCTCAGGGCGCTAGCTAGAGTCGGGTTATCAGAATGCATGCTGTAAACCCTCATAAAGCAATAAAATAATTCACACCGAATACAATGTTGAAAGAGAGAGAGAGAGGATGGTGGGGGATGATGGAGAGAGGGAAAAATAAGAGAGCTAGGTCACAAGCAGTAGACCATACAACAGACTGACATCCCACGCAAAAATAGAGAAAAACTACATTCCACTTAAACAATCAACCCTGAAAAGTAAAAAAAATAGGTAAGCGATGCGTTCAACTCACCTGACATTGGAACCTGACTTTGGCGCTGTCCTTAAACACCCTCCAGCGTTCACTAGGGGGGCTGAACGTCGGCATGAGGAACCACTGGTGAGGGAAGTACTGGGCGAACAACCGGTCGAACTCCCCGTGCCAGACGATCTCCATGCTGCAAAAAGGATTAAAGGCGTTGCCATCAGGCGTGTACAGGGTGGAAGTCTGGGGATCGAAGGTGAACATTTGGGACACGGTGTCAAGGGTGGTGTGGGCAGGGCTCGGGAACGTGATGAGGCCCGGGGGGGTGGGAGTACCCCCCGACCTGAACCCGGCGTGCCAAGGGAGGACACGCTCGCGGGACAACCCTGCGAGGACGCCGGATCGTACGGTATGATTTGCAGCACCATGGTCGGCACGGGTTCCACGCAGGCTTTGCCGACCATATTGTAATGGAGCGTCGTCGCGTTGGTTTGTTTTTAACAGGGATTTTGACGCGGTTCTCTACCGAGGCGGTGAATCTACAGAGTGCTGCCGTATGTTTAAGAATAAAGTCGGTTTAGGCCTATGTTGTGCATAAAATGGAATGATACTCTCCGTTCCGTATTGCGCCTGTCTTTCACTTGAAATATAGTCAAATTATTTGTTATTTCTGTTTTGTCGATAACACGTGGAAATGGCAAATATCCGTGTTTCACCAGCAGTCATCCAACCGTTATCTGTGGGCTCAATTTTATCTTCGGAGTAAAGTTATTACTGTCAATCTCCCGACTCGTTTAACTCGTTTCAAATTGCGGAGTCGATTTTATCTCAAACACGATGAAATGTTCTGTCATGTCTTTTTTCTTGGTAGTTTGTTAGTGCACGTTGGTCAAATAAAAAGAAAAATGTTCGACTCAGACCCGATTTGACTTGATGTCGTGAATGAAAAAATTAAAAAGAGGACGTAGTGCAACTTGAGGTGATCCCGGACGCCGTCCTTTTCCCTGTGGTTTTGTTCGCGGAATCTGTCGTCTGCTTCACAAATGCTGCCGTTTGCTTCACAGAAGCTGTCGTCTGTTGCTTCACGAAGAACCAATGCCTGTCTCACAAGGCCTGCCGTCTGCTCGGCTCGAATGAAACTGTCGTCTGAATTTACCACAAGAACTGCCGTGCTTTGGCTGTCGTCTGCGCCGCCTCCTCACACAAACCAAAACCGTGCGCTCAGGTTCCGAAGTTAAACGCTAGTGACACGACAAATCCACGTGTTATTACAGGCCCACATCTATATTCTGTAAACAGACTGAACGCAGCGCCACTACCGCCGGGTGTCAATCTGCGCAACATCCGCGTCACGATTTCATAACAGTGATGTTCACAACAAAACAAAAAAGAGGTCCTCTCCTATTAATGAATGTTGATGGCGGTTTCGCCACACGAGATATATAACTACATACAGCAGTTAAGTAACAACTAATGCTTCGCTGTGTGCGACCGAGGCGCTGGAATGGTCAAAAGTTCGCTCAGTGTCAGTGTCGCAAGGGCCGCACAGTGTGTTCCCGTCTTTTATGTAAACGTATGTCTTTCTTAATGTGAACTGAACGTTGATGCGCCAACCACAACCAGTATGTTTGATTGTCTGGAGTGTTTTATAACCCCTATATATTACCTCTCAAAGAGAGTCTGAGTAGGTAGAAGAAGTCCACTTTTTTCAAGGGCTCCGAACCAACAAGATAGGAGATTACGCGATGGTTGAAAACACGCCTCACTCTAAAAAGTTGATTTTGTCATGGGCATTTTCACTGACAGCCTTTTTTCTTTTATTTTAACATGGACATGGCTATTTTTGATAAAACCGGTCCTCAACTGTTGTGAGAAGCAAGTACAGCCAGGGTACGGTAGCACCGGAGCTGCTATGATACATTTTCTATTGTCGTGTCCCAAAGTATGTATTTCTACGTAACTCCCACGCTGACGGGGACACTTCTTTTTATTCACAACTGAAAGTGGCAATTTCGTGTTGGGGCGAGGAGCACGATCCATAGTATACAGGCACAGTGCGCCATCCTTTTCAGCACAACTAGAAATTATTGCAATTGTGTCATGATTCACTAGCATCCGGCTCATATTTGTCAGAGCAAGACAGTGCTGGGGCAAAAGGGCAGCTACGTTCACACACACACACGCGCGCACGCGCGTCAAATGTTTCCTTTTTTAGTTACGATTTACCGGTCTGCCACATTTGTACTATTATATTTTCCGAATGATTACATCCCTGTTCGCAGACATTATAGAAATTATGAAAATTCCAAAATTCTGAAATAAATGTGCTTTCCAAAGACCCAAGCAAGTCAATAAGAATCTAAAAAGGACCTAGGCCATCCTTCTGCGTTGGCGGGGCTTTATCTATTCATCAGTTTTAGATCAGTTAACACGTTGCCTAAATTATGTTTACTTTGCTACGAAAATTGTGTCAGAGTGTGTGGTTCATTTCATCGACAGTCACGTCGCTTTACCCGGATCCTATCACGTGGAAACGTGTTTCCATGTCGTTAGAGAGAGAGGCTGATTGTACATAGATTCCCACTAAATAATTTCATTTCTGGCTGAACAGATAGATAAAGGGCGAGATAAGGGGCAAAAGTGACCTTTTTACTCCCTTAGTTGACCTAACCTGAGAAATAGAACCTAGATAGATTTTTTAATGCAAAGAGGACCTTTTCCGGTCAAGAGGGGTGTTCTTTCGACCCCACCCCTCCCTAAAGATCATTTCAAATGTCATGTAGGGTTAATAAAAGACTATAAATATCATTCTCTCTCTCTCACTCTCTCCTTTCTCTCTCTCTCTCTCTCTCTCTCTCTCTCTCTCTCTCTTTGGGAAATGCTTTTAAAATCCTATAATAATCTCTCTGTCGAAAAAAACAAAACTTGGAAGACTCATACCTGAACAACGCAGTTTAATACTTATTGATATTATTAGTCGCCCAGCACAATGAACAGGCACGCACACAAAGCATATGCTACACGTATTATCTACCCTTGGTTCTAGATTTCTATATTGCCAGCTCGATCTTGATTTCATATATAACCCACATCAGCAATACTGTAAAGCGAACACACGAAACGGTATAGTGAGCAGGCTAGCTTCAGACTGGGTTCCCATCCCTAGATCGATCTAACAGGATCGGTCCATCTCCAAGGGGTCCCTCGCTTTATTGCTCTCAGCCCAAGCGGCTTAGACGTCTGGGACGCCCACTTAAGCTGCTAAACGATAGTTAGTTACCCCTATCAGCCTCAGCAGACGTGACAGACATCTGACCCGCCCAAGTTAATTGCAATTAAGCGAGAATCCCCTCGGAGATAGTTCGATCCAAAGTTAGTACGATAGTCTCTGGGAATGGTCTCTTATAATGGACACTCAGGGTAGTACTATCACGCTTTCGACATAAAAACACCAAAGGTAATTTTTATGTCTATTGTGAGGAGGACTAGAAAATTAGAAGTATATTTTCCCATCCAATTTTCATAATGTGTTTACAAAATATCAATGCCACCTTGCGCTGCCTAACAATAAATTCACCAGGAACTTAAAAACGAACAAATGAAAAAATAACTGAAAAGAAGAAAAATACTAGCCTTGGGGTAATAGAAATTTCAACAAAGGCATGGGGCTTCTTTTTGTATGTCAGTAGTTAAGGTCCACCAGCTCTGTGGAGTGGCCGTAACAACACCATCATTACAAATCTCTTTCTGTGTTATTTACGGCCGAAGAGACATATTTATCACGCTAAGTATAGTTCAGGTGTTAATATCCATAGCTTTTTTTCACGCGGAACAAGAAACGCAATTTTCAATTCAATTAGTGTTTGTGCGTACTGATACCACCTAAGTATTTTCCTCATAATTACAAGCAGTGACCAGAAGCTATATATTCTACTAAACCTACAGAATAAATAAATAAACCCAGTACAGCAGCATTTCGATATATATACAATCTCCAACAGAAACAAAAAGCGCCCATTACACTTCTTAATCTGTTTATACTGAAAGACAAGTATCTACTATATTAAATTATTTATATATTACTTTTTCCTTTCTTATACTAGGTAAACAAACAGTAGTATAAGAAGTATCACAGACAACCAACAATGTTAACATGAGACGTTATAAGCTTAATGAAGTTATTATTATTTTTTATTTATTTATTTATTTATATTTTTTTAGAAGTCGTTCAGGAGGGAAAAACTCATTATCTCTTGTATACATGTATCACCTCTAGGTTCTACTCACACAGTGTAAGATTAATAAACTGTTTCGGGAATAACTTATAATACAGTGCGAAATATTTCAGCTGCCAAAAGAACCGCATATAAAAAGTGACGGCTAGATAAAAATGTATTAGTACTGCTGCCATAAAATATTGTCAACACATATCCTGTACCTTGTCAAACATTATCCCCTCACGTCGAGTCTCTAACGTAATCCAAATATATTAATTTGTCAACATTTATGATTTGAAACAATTTACATTTTCATCGCCATGAAAGTTGTTTGAATTAGTAAGGACATGTAATTAGCAAGAGTGACTGGAAGTGAAAAGAAACATGTATGGCACTATATCATTTGTTTTCCTGTAGTTTTCCGTTTAAACATGTTGTAGACAACCATTATACATAAGCTCTTTTTTACCGATCTTTTACATGTTTTACCGTTCTTGTGTGATCCCCATTTTTAAAGGGAGAGACTGCCGCCAGTAGGGGCCACCAGGGGCACGGAGTGTTTGATATGTAGTGCGGGTCACTACAATAATTTTCTGTGCATAAATATCAATTCATATTCTAGTCACACAGTAGTCCTTTGTCACAAATATACCATAAATATGCGTGATAATTGCTCCTCTTCTCTGACTGGAGACTGCGTATGCAAAATTATTTCCCCTTTTTTATAACATCATTTGGCATCTTGTTAGCAGCAGCTCGATTTTTTCAATAGCTTAGCATGCAATATGGACACTGTATTCAAAGATGAAAAGTATCCTATTTTTCTCGGAGGAAAAAAAGGCATTTTTCCTACTCACACGCCATTGCTCTATCCGTACCTGCACGTAGTTTCCATATTTAATATCAATAGTAATTCTATTATTTAGATCTAAATGGCCACCATGGCTTCCTTTGCATCTCAGAAGAAATCTCGACA